CCCCATATACAAAATTCCCTACAAATCACATGACAGGTACGAACTAGAGGGACTTTCGGCAAAACATCACACGAAGTAGTAAGATAGACGGGAAAATATGATAAAGAAACGGAGAGCGACTTACTTGTGACTTGGCTGGCGCGATTTAAGAAACTCAGAAGTAGTATGGTGAGACACTAGTGCGCACAACCAATCAGCGCCCAGTTTTATCGCCGGTATCCATGACAACAAGACCGTGAGGTCAAGAAACCGGTCAGACAGCCTCACCCAGGGCCTCATGAGATCATATGGCGTAGGGAGGAAAGACTTTGTGATTTACGAATTGTAACGTACTCAAAGGTAGCCCTTACATCTTAAATGTGGCTGAACATTGTCATACAGTTGATAAAACTTGATACACCCTGACTTTATTGTGACAAAGTGGTCTTGTGTTAAATGTTGACTTCTAAAGGTTCTGGATTCGAATCCCTATCATGTCCCAATGTTGTTACTCGGGAAATGCACTTTACACATATTTCCTTTCTCGACATGGTGAAAATGAGTTTCTGGCTTTTAATTCTTGACATTCTCTTGGATGGGACGTAAAGCTGGAGGTTCCATGTTTTAGTCGAGCCGCATATTGAGAACCTTTGAAGAGTGACTAGCAAACGTTGTTTAGTACCATTCGAGAGGGGCTTATGAATCCAGCTGGTGCCTTCCTCGACATGGTGAAAATGAGTTCATAGGTTTTAATTCTTGACATTCTCTTGAATAAGAGGTATAGCAGGAGGTCCTGTACTTAAGTCTAGCCGCACATCAAGAAAAGAAGAGTGACTAGGAAACGTTGTTTAGTACCAATCGAGAGGGGCTTATGAATCCATCTGGTGCGCAAAATAAAATAAAAATCGCACCGATCATTTTTATTGTCTCTTTTATTGTGTACGTTAGATACAAGTGATGTAAATAAGCTGTACATACCGCCGTAGCGTGAAGCAGTCGGGAAACAAACTCACTCAAACTCTGGAGTAAAATGTGATACGTCCGAACCGAATACGTTTGTCTGCCTAAGTGTGAATATATCGAAACGAGACAAAAACGCCACAAGAGGCCCCTTCCAAGAAGCCTACCTCCGCACGCGAAGAAAAGATCCATCTTCTAGCCTGTGGCTTAATACACAGGTTGATTATAATTATACGTTTGACCAAAATCCTAGCCTCAGTTGCTGCCTGGATAGAGTGAGCGCAAGAAAAAACGAAAAAATAACATCATCGACAAAAAGACTTGATTACCAAAATTTCAACATGTTCATATATACATGTACAGTATGCCACTGATTCCTGTATTTAAAGCACTAATCAAACTTCTAAAGTTGTTTTATCCCAAAAATATGTCACTACACACATTGTTGCTTTCTTGTCTAATGACGATCCTCAGGCTAGTAATTATACGCACTTCTTATATAGGGTCGTATTCGCGTATATAAGGTAAACATCACGTCTGTACTTTCCATATGTTATGTCGGAAAATATGTCGTCCGCAACTGGCAGAACGTCTGCTGGAAAACGGTGACCAAATATCCAAAGAAAACTGTGAAATACCAGGGTCTTGCACAGGTGCAGTAATGACTGCCGACGTGCTAGTAATTATAGGGGAATGCGGGTCACGTGTTGTCTATTCACTTTTACTCTGAACACAGGACCTTTTGCCATATTTTCCTATATGATATTGACAAATGACGGCGACCCTATCAAGCTTGACCGACAGAAGTTTTGTAGCATGCCGCATCATCAGGACCTCTTTTCTCAACTGACAAACTCCTGCATTAACCCTATCTAGACCGGGGGGGGGGCTAAAAGTGCCCGCGGCAACTTTGATGTCACATAGCGTCTGAACGGCTAGAGCTAGAACCGCCAAACTTGGTGACTTTTCCTAAAATATTGTTGGCAACAAATCTGTATCAGTGGAATAAGATTATGATTTTTCTTGTTGCCATGGCAACGGGTTTCTGATAGGCATCTTTTGCCAAATTTAATAATTTCCATTTAAAAAACAGAATTTTATGGGTTTTATGTCAAGTTACACATTGTTTCTAATATCAATAACATCCCATATAATTATATGTAAATTTTATCATTAAAAATGCATAATTTATGCTATATTGATGACGTCATTGGCCCAAATCCAAGATGGCGGACCATATCATTAGATCAGGTAAATACAGCTTATTTTCCTTAAAATTTCATCAATATTCCCATTTTTTTACAAAAATGATTCATATGAACGTCTTTAGTCTGTTTACAATGTATTTTAGGCTTTATCCTAAAAAAAAAAATATTTTTCAAAATTCAAGATTGATGATCCAAGATGGCGGACAGGTAATATATGCATGACGTCATTTTATGACGTCATCAGTGTTGCTATGGGCAACATAAGACTTAGTACATCCTAATATTCTGTCATAAACACTTTTGGTAAAGTTATATCGTATACTATTTAGTTTTCATGAAATAACCTATCTAGACGGTTTTGACCAATAAAATCACATTAATGACGTCATAATGACGTCATATTACATTACAACGACATAAAAATTGTATATATGATAAATTTTTACTAGTACACCATCCTCTGAAAATTTGGTGGTCCTACGATATACAGTTCGCGAGTTCTGAGGGGGGGGACCGAAAGAGCCCCCCCCCCGGTCCCACCAAGCCCATAAAAGCCCGGTCTAGATAGGGTTAAGTTATGAAGATCAATCGCGAGTGCATCATAGCACATAGATATGGGTGATTAAATGTGTTGTGACAGTTCATTTACTGCAACAATCTATGTGGAATTATCACGGAAATATTATTTTTTTGCAGTGCTTTTGCCTAGGGAGTTGAAGCCATCTTTAACAGGCAAAATGTATGATGCAAGCGTGACCAAATATCCAAAGAAAACTGAAATATCAGGGTCTCACACAGGTGCAGTTATTACTGCTTGGAGAGCAATTAAACGTGTCAAAAGATTGAAAATGTACATGTACGTCTCACATTTTATTTGTTAGGAAAATTTTGTAGAAATCTTGTCAGGAATATTTTGTAAACATGATTGAAAGATATAAAGATGATATATTTTGGATGATATAGATTCCAATATTGTTTTCACACCAGGAATACACGATGTTGTTCAGGGAAATTGTGTGTGTTTCTAACATTTGAAACAACACAGAAAAATCTACACACAAATGAAAACACCTTACACACAGTGAGCTGCAGCACGTTTTAATATCTCATGAGATGTTCTGATTGTGCGAATGTTGCGATCAGCTCCATGGTCACCGATGTAGCTCTGTGCCGTTGCGTTGTAGTAACCGGTACCTGATGATAAAAAAGAAAAGAAAGATACAGAAAGCCTCAAAGAAAGGTGATAAGAGATGGCAGACTTCAGCGTCTTGTTGTAACACTAGTCATGTACAACCGCAGATTCCCAATATTAAATTTGTATTCCCGTGGTTAAGCAGCATTTTTCCAGACTTCTTATTTGCCCGCCCGCACTAGTTTTGGGGGTATTTAGAGGATGTTATTCATGAAATTAAGTCAGTATGACCTTATGTTTATGCTCAATGTCTTATCTTCATCAATGACCACTTAGACCACACCGGTTTTATTTTATGGATGACATTCTCTGAAGACCCCCAAACTAGCTAGTGCGCGCGGGCGAATAAAAACCAATTCCGGCCAAAAATAAAGATGCTACTAAACCACAGCAATACAAATCCGGTAGTGTGAATTTTAGTACATAGCGACGTATACGACAAGCCGGCACATGCTGGCTTTTTGCGGAATTTATGAATCGGCACTGTATGTATGTACTGGGTTCTTGAGTCTTGAAGCTTCGGCAGCCTGGGTGCCGTCCTCAAGAATTACCACAGGCTCCGTCACTAACTACATGTACCATGGACTACCCAGGCCTAGAGCCAGGCCTAGAGCCTCGGAGGACGTAATCTTTTTTTTTGAGAACAGGTGGAAATTAATGCGGATGTCATCCATAAAATTAAGTCGGTGTGGCCTTATTATAATTAGTAGTTCACAAATGTTCACCCACTCAAGTGGTTCCTCCAGACTTACCTCAAAAAATCACAGTTTACTCTTTTGCCATTTTCTTGAGAGAAATTGCCATTTCTTCACCACAAGCTTTTAAGACACAGACCTGGAAGAAAGAAAGAAGTTTCATTCACTTCTCAGAAGAAACAAAACCAAAATGTACTTACGCCAAATTAAAATACTGAATGTGGGAGTAGAAATATTTGTAAATCATAACTCATTTAGAAGTTTAAATAATGTTTTATATACTTTCCAAACAATCAAAGGGTGGATCTTAACAACAACAAAAAAACAACAAATGAAACAAAAAACAAATGAAAATTTAGGATGGATTATGTAGGTAGATATGTTCTTTTTCTTTAAACCATTCCATCTTTTTGTCGATGAAGGTTAGATATCTAGGTAAAAATAGATACTCATTGACAAGCAACTGGAATGATGTTAAACCCTGCCAGACGTTTCAAGTAGCATCCACTACTTTACTTATTAAAGGAGATTGTAGTTCTTAACAGAAAAAAAAAACAAGTATTGTCATTCCTAATAAATTTCGTGATGGAGAGTCATACATAGATGATCCACAAGCCATTGTTAATAGATTCAACGATTTTTTCACCAATATTGGACCATCCCTTGCAAACAAAATCGAAAAGACTGATTGTTCCCCTTTGCAATATTTGGAGCGCTCCTATCCACACATTAACTCTTTCGAAGAGCCATATTCTACAGAGATTCACGATACTATCATAAATTTGAAAAATGCAGCTCCAGGTCATGACGAAAAATATTCTACGTACATGCCCCTCTTATACTTAACCGACAAAATAACCGAAGCTCTAGAAAATAACGAATACACCGTAGGCATATTTCTTGATCTTTCAAAAGCATTTGATACCGTTGATCATAAAATATTACTTGACAAATTACATAAATACGGCTTACAAAACACAGTTCATGACTGGCTTAAAGACTACCTTTCAAACAGAAAACAATATGTTACCAATGGCATTTACAAATCACAACTTAACTCGATAACATGTGGCGTTCCTCAAGAATCCATCCTGGGACCCCTACTTTTTCTAATTTATATAAACGATTTAGCACAAGTATCTCAAAAACTATTTACTCTTCTCTTTGCAGACGACACAAATCTATTCATGCAAGAATCTCAACACTATAGTAACCACCATGAATGAACAACTAGATAAAGTAAATAAGTGGTTTAAAACAAACAAATTGTCTTTAAATGATAAAAAAAACAAATTTAATAATATTTGCAGGTAAAAATAGAAAATATCCGAAGGAAAACGTGCAGATATTCATAAACAACAACCTTATTACTCAAATGACGCACACTCGTTTTCTAGGGGTTTTAATAGATGCAAAATTAACATTGAAAAATCACATCGATCTTATAGATATCCAAGAACATTGGTATTATACGGAAAGTAGGAAGTCTTTTATCTCCTAAAACATTTATTACTCTCTATTATAGTCTTATCTGTCCTTATTTAAGTTATTGTAATATTGTATGGGCAAGTACGTACGCTACATCACTTAAACCGCTCTTTCTGCTTCAGAAACGATACATCAGAATAGCGTCTTAAGTTTCATTTACTTTAAATTTCCTACTGCACCATTGTTTAAAAAGCTCAAAATACTGACCATAAATGACATAAATAGACTACAAACCAGTATTTTAATGTACAAGATAATAAATAAATGTCCTGGCCTTCCTAAAAACCTTCCACGACACCTACACCTTCTTACTGAACTCAGATATCCACAACCACTTCACAAGCCTATCCAATTATTCAAGGCCATCCAATGCGAAATCGAATCTACGTCAATTTACAATCACGTACAGGGCCAGCGGCCCAACAATTTGGAACAACCTAAGTAGAACTTTACAAATTAGTCCCTCCTTCACCATTTTCAAAAATCATACTAAAGTAGCTTTTTCATAAATAACCCCACACATTCTTAATTTTTACATCCATGAAAAATGGAGGTATTGTTTTTGGCGTGTCTGTATGTATGTCTGTTTGTGTGTGTGTGTGTGTGTGTGTGTGTCTGTCTGTGCGTGTTTCCGCAACTTTGTAGTCAGCATAACTTCAGAACATCTTTATGGATTTTGATGATATTTGGTATGATGGTAAGTCTTGGAAAGACAATGGTCAAGGTCAAGTATGGGCCTCCTGGTGGATGACCTTGGTACTGCAGCAGAACGGTTTTTGTATCTTTTGTCCTGAACAAGCTATGGTCCTGAATTTTTGGTGACAGATAGGTTATCCTGTCAGGAAAAATTGGCGTAAGTTTGGTCCCCCTAGCAGCTTGTTCTGGAACTGCAGGTTAGTTTCTGGTAAAAACTTTCAAAGCCAATAAGTCCAAATTGGAACAACGTATTTTCATCATTTTTGGTGTGTGTATTGTATTTTATTGTTTTGTTTATTTACCCGTTACCTGAGTTAATTTCTTATTTATCCGACTGATTTGAATTGTTAATGACGTTATGAAGGGAGGCCTCCTCATAAGCATTTTATGCTTCCGGCCTCCCTGCACTGTTACATTTCATTTATATTTTCTTGTATTTGTATTGTTACATTTTGTTTTAAAGTGCGAAATAAACTGAAACTGAAACTGATCTTCGGCCAAAATTATGAATTGAAATGCTTATGATATGCATAAGGCCAAGTGGAAAACAGTACATAGGAAACCAAAATATAAAACCAAGCTAAAGCCCATGTCACACATTCACGAATTTTTCCCCCGAAAGCTTAACAAATCCATCTTGTTATTTAGGTAAACGTTGAAATCATCTGCCAGACAATCTAGAACCCGTGGAACACTCTTCCGCTACAGCAACGACAGCTCCTTAGTCTTAGGACGTTTAAAAAGATAATTAGGAGCAGGACTTCTCAGAACTTTTAGACAGAGCATTAGGTGCAGGACTTGACACTGTTGATGTTTAGAATGTTGTAATAGTAATTGTTTATGTACTGCGTATTTGTTGTGTGTACTTTTATGTGTATCCAGGAGTACCTGAAAAGCAGGCCAAAATGGCCTGAGCTGTAATTACTGGTTAAATAAATAAATTGAAATTGAAATAGAGAAGGATTTACCAAATAGTCATAATCCTCATCTCCAATGCAGGTTGAGATCTCCTTGCCCAAATCACCGTCGGGCAGTTTGATATCATCGCGTGTATCTCCATTGTCGTCCATTAGATTCAAGAAGCCGTTCGTAACGTCGATCAGCTGAAACAACAGAACACAATTGTCACTTCCATCACATGTTCTAAAATAGCTTTCAATATTATTTAATAAGATTGAAGACGAGTCACTTTATTGTGGACTGTACTCTATGTGATAAACAAATATTCTTTTCAATTGTATACAAGATTATTCCCCTAGTTTTAGAATTTTTCTCCTGAAATTCGATAACCCTCGTATTATAAGCTCCACCTGTTCTTACATTTACAACTGTCTTAAGAAGCGAGAAGAAGCAGAACTTGTATAAATGTAGTTTTACTATAGATATATTTTAGTCTACCATCGCTTTTTGTTGTGACCTGTACTTAGTTGGCAATTCAGCAAAAATGTACAATGAAGGTCTTTCATTCTTCATTCATTATTTTTTCCCATTTCCCAACATTTGATAGCGCGAAATCACTGCATACAGCACTGGTGCAGGTAACGTTGAAAATTACCCACACCACTCAGAATTTAGGAAGAGTATACGAATCATACTAAAACTGTACGAAACCTTGTTACTAGTATCTTTTTTATATGAGGTAACATTCAATAGAAAATCCACATTTTCATAGCCATACGTCTTAGGTAAAGGTATAGACATCAGAAATACTTGCACATCTCCAATTTTACCTGCATATCAATCAAATGGTTTGTGTGATATCATTTTCTTTGATTAAGTATTTTCAGCAGTGACGGTACCGGACTATTGCTGAACCTTGCTATATATACCCAGTGCATGGACAAATACGGGTTAGGTACAGGCAGACATGTATGAGTAATACTGCAGAAAGATATAGATACCAAACTTCCTACATGTATCTATACTGTAATATTTGTGTCAATTTGTAAATGTCTGCGTTTTCTCGAAACACCATTTCTCCGTTACCTGCAGTATTGTCAGAAATTCTGCTTTGTAGAAATAATCTCCTCAACCTCCCTTTCTTGCCTTACGACAAGGTTATGTTTGGCCTGTAAACTAGCGTACATTCCTACCTACAAGGCGAGGATACTTGTTTTCATCAGACCGTAGCTTGCATGTTGGTTTGTTTTTTTGTATATTGTGTGAAGGTAAGGACCTCACCTGGTACTCCGTACGGGTCACTTTTGGGCAATCCATGTTCATATTAGAAGCAGACACAACTTCGATCGTCTTACCAGTAAAGAGGTCGGTTCCTACCAAGTCAACCTAAAGCAAGAATAAGATATACATATCCATCTGTGTAGTAATTATCCAGCATTTAATTATAATGAACCTCATTGACGCAACAAAAAGTACAGCGACTTTCGTAAGGTCTAAAACTGCATGTAGACATTTGTACGGAAGACAAAAGTCAGTGTAGGGAAGACAGAAGTCAGTGTAGGGAAGACAAAAGTCAGTGTAGGGAAGACAAAAGTCAGTGTAGGGAAGACAGAAGTCAGTGTAGGGAAGACAAAAGTCAGTGTAGGGAAGACCAAAGTCAGTGTAGGGAATACAAAAGTCAGTGTAGGGAAGACAAAAGTCAGTGTAGGGAAGACAAAGGTCAGTGTAGGGAAGACAAAGTTCAGTGTAGGGAAGACAAAAGTCAGTGTAGGGAAGACAAACGTCAGTGTAGGGAAGACAAAAGTCAGTGTACGGAAGACAAAAGTCAGTGTACTGAAGCCAAAAGGCAGTGTACGGAAGACAAAAGTCAGTGTACGGAAGACAAAAGTCAGACTTGTCCCTATCGGCCACGGTACATTAAGCTATGTCAAACAGGTGCTTTACCTTGGCGCTGCCGTGCTTTCCAGCTTTGGCAATGGTTATTTTCACGATCTTGCAGGGGCGGCCCTCCAGCATCACGAAGCCGCCCTTTTCCAGATCTCCGCACTGCCTTGGGTAGGTGGTTGAAGTGTCCACAGTCGGCGGTTCCCACTCGAGGTCTTCATGGTCCGACATTGTTCTGCTGGGTAAGCTATTAGAAGTGGGAAACAAGTGTATGAATTAGAAGCTGTTAAAGTAGGTTTGCACTTGCCTCGGCGTCGCAGCACCAGTGAAACGTTACCCATTTAATCTGACTGTGGATAGAGTACATAATCAAATATTCATTAGCCTGGTATCCAGTCTCTTTTGGCTGAGCCAGCCGGGTTCTCGCCGGGGGCTCTAGTAGTTTTCCCCGCCTAGCTTAACTGGCCGCCCGGTGGAGTTTAACGTCTGTTATAGAGTTTTGTTTCGTGAAAAGCTGACCGGGGAACCTAGTTGAGTCGGGCGATGAGCAGCCCCAGAGACAACCCGCTCCAACCGCGATAGACTGGACACCAGGCCGCGACGTGAGACCTGTTTCCCCGGCGACAATTGTACCCATCGCAAGGATATGGCGATTCAGGGAGCAAATCTTTGCGGGTGTCTACCCTGGGAGCCAGGCTATTTTCGGGCCGTCAGCCGTTTTTCCTTCGGCAGCCAAGAGCCCTTCACCCGCCTAGCCTATCTATGGACAAGGGAAGCAAATTTTATGGATGACATCCTCCGCAGATTTCAAATCTAATGCTATAGGGCGAAAAAACGGGGGGGGGGGGGGCGAAAACGAAG